AGTTCAGGTCCAGTGGGCTGGGGACATCCATCTTCCTCGAGTTCAGACCCAGTCAGCTGGGGACGTCCGTCTTCCTTGATTTCAGGTCCAGTTGGTTGAGGACATTCATCTTCCTTGAGTTCAGGTCCAGCCACCTGGGGAGATCCATCCTCCTGAAGTTCAGGTCCAGTGGGCTGGGGACGTCCATCTTCCTCGAGTTCAGGTCCAGTGGGCTGGGGACATCCGTCTTCCTCAAGTTCAGGTCCAGTTGATTGGAGACGTTCATCTTCCTTGAGTTCAGGTCCAATTGATTGGGGATGTTCATCTTCCTTGAGTTCAGGTCCAGTCACCTGGGGACATTCATCCTCCTCAAGTTCAGGTTCAGTTGGCTGGGGATGCCCATCGTCCTCGTGTTCAGGTCCAGTTGGCTGGGGACCTCCAACTTCCTCGTGTTCAGGTTCAGCGGGCTGGGGACATTTATCTTCCTCGAGTTCAGGTTCAGCCAGCTGGGGACGTTCATCTTCCTTGAGTTCAGGTCCAGTCAGCTGGGGACATTCACCCTCCTCAAATTCAGGTCCAGTCGGCTGGGGATGTTCATTTTCCTCCAGATCTCGGCACCCTGAATCTTGTGCTTCTGTTGGAGATTGACTTTCAGTTTTCTTGTCAATTTCTTGTGTTTCCGGCTTTTCTCTTACATCTTCTGTCCCTAATCCAGAATCCTCAGTCTTCAAGTCATGTTCTTTGACTACTTCTGCACCTTCCTCCTGGATTCTATTGTCCAAATCATTCTCATCTGGTTTTGAATCCATTTCAGGCTCTGCTCCTTGAGCTACTTCATTTTCTTTTCCTTCACTCTCAATGGCCGATTCGTCTGTGGTGTCCCTTCCTGGATCATCAGCGCATTCCAATACCGGTGGTTCAGTAGGTCCATCCAATGAAGCTTCTTCTCTTGTCCCTTTGCTTTCAGGATCAGACTGAGTGTTTGGCAGGACTGGGGTCACACTGTCTCCTGAAACAACCCTCTCTTCTCTCTCTGACTCCGTTTCCCTTAAAACTACCTCAGAATATTGTTCCCTATGTAACTGTTCACTTAAAGTTATAGCTACATCATGTTCTTTGTCACTCAATGTGTTGTCACAACTTTCACCCTCTGGTAACCTAGCTACCAGACTTTCAGATAATTCTTCATTAATTTCACCTTTTACAGAGTTAACCTCACTCTCTAAAGAAAGCAAAGTACTGTCCCTAGCAGACTCTGTATTTCCAGCTTCTGATTTCAGAAAACGTGCTTCTTGACCTTGAATTTCTTCTTGGCACTTTGATATGCTCCAATTTATTTCTTCTGATACAGCGCCAGTACTTTCTGGGGTTGCACATTCATCCACACTGATGACTTTCTCGATTTGACCTGAACCATCCATTACATCTTTATCTGTTGTTCCTTCTATTCCACTATCCAAAATATTATCTCTTTTACTATCCATGCATTTGCTCTCTGTGTGCTTTTCTACCAAATCTACCTCTGCACTTTCCACACTTATCTCACTAGCAGCTTTGAGCTCTGTTTCCCTTTCTACAAAAGTTTTGTTTTCAATCCTTCCTTCGATTGTGTTTGTGTCTTGAATTTCCACACCTGATGATGCTGAATCAATGGCTTCACTACCTGTGTCTGAACTCTGATATTTATTTTCATCAACGGTTACACCAAAACCACCTGAAGTTTGCTCAGGTTTTTCACTGTTATTCCCACCATTTTCAGGACCTTCGTCTCCCTCTCTAACCATTTCTTCTTCAGGACCTGTTATAACCACTTGTATCCCTGCTTTCTCTGTTTCAACAACAATTTCTCTCTTTTGTTCTCCTTCATCTACCATACTTGTGTTCTCTGTACTGCCACAGACTACATCACCCCCAAGCTTGGACTCTTGAATGGGCTTCTGAATGCCATCTTGATGTGTGTCACCCTTGTCTGTATCAGTGACCTGTGTGACACTATCAGAGGCCATAGACGAGTCGGACCATGCCTTTTCTGGGTTCTCTTGAGAGGGTATGCTGGCCAAAAGCCTCTGTTCTTCTATGTTATTTAGTGAGTCCTCACAGGGTGCTGGTGAAGACAGTTCACTTCCACCCTGGATTTCTTGCGTCTTTTCTCCACCAAGCCCTTCCTGTGATTCTGCCCCCTCCTGTTGCCTGTGCTGTCCCACAGAATTGTTCTCATCCTTCTCCAAGATCTGCTTATTCCCAACATCCTTCACATCTTTACTTTCCATCTGCACCTCCTTGGCTTTGCCTAGAAGACCATTGGAAGAGAAATGTAGGGCCCAAAACAGGAGGCGGCAACCAAATACAGTTTATTTTTCATGTTTAATTTGATTATTTTTTAGGTGTGTCAATTAGCGCAGAAAGCGAAATTGGAAATCACATAAGCAAGACCAGCAAGGAGGAGGAAGTAGCCAGCACTAAAGCAGTTTTTTTCTAGTTGAATCAACAGGTGGAGGACAGCAAAAACCAAGCAGTTTCTTAGCTGAAGGGAAGGAGCACGCTAGAGAAAAGACATCACCCTTACGAAGGTTTACTGTGGTTAATAGTCAGTTCTTCATATTTAATATTAATTTCATCACGATTATTTCCCTTCATTTAATCATATATTAACAAGTAACAATGTAGTTACACAATAAATATTTAGAATGGTAAGGCTGGGAAAGAGTGATTTGAAAACTACTGGAATACTACTGTATAGATTATTTTATATAGGTAATCTGTATTTGGATTTCAATTATTATTATCCTCCCACTGAAAATAGGACACTCTGAAGAGAGTCAACTGTACTGCTATCAAGATACACAAATAACTTAAATAGTACCATTATCAACTGCACAGAAGTATAATCAGTGAAGAGCATTCTTTAGCCCCAGAAAAATTGCCCTATGAGGTCCATAATAAAACAAATGACTATTGTAAAAACTTTATAGACAAAATATAGACTGAATTGCCTACAGAGTGACAGAAAATGGACTCATAATTCACATTATTTCATTAGGTAGGCCAAGGAAGATAGAAATATTCTTAATCTCTCTCTGTGAAGCTGTGATTACAGAAAAGTAATAAAAAAATAAGCCAAAAGGAACCCAGAAAATAATGGGAGCCCGACAGAAAATGAAGCATGCAAGCCTGGAGATTAGTAAGGGTTGGTTTAGCAGCATACCTGTGGCTGAGAAAACAGCGGGCACCAATGTGGAATGATTTATTACAAGCGCTCTCCTACCTAGCAGTCCATCCCCACTAGAGTGCAGAGTCTGAGAGGGGTCCTGAGCTGACACTGGGGAGGAGTCCACATTGGCCGGTCTGTCAGGACCACCCTCGCCGGCCTCCCCATTAGTGGCTGCGCTCTGGCCCAGAACAATCCCGTGTCTCTAAACATGATAAAATGGAGAGAAGATAAACTCCAATGGCTCATATATATGTTTGAAACATTATATTTAATATATCTCATAACTACAAAAAAAAACATGCATTTTACAAAACCCGTACAAGCTTGAAAACTTGTGACGGGGTTCTCCTAAGTTTTTCAAATTTGATATATACTTAATACTATAAATAGACTAAACAATCTGAAATGTAACAGCATTTGGCTTCATAAATGCCACATTCTTGAGCATGGAGACACAAATCCTAAGGTAAGGAGACTAGAATCATTTAGCTTGCCACACTGAGGTGAGAGAAAAGGCACTGATGCATTCTACAGTACAAGCAGGTGATATCCCATCAGGCACATGGGGGGATGTCCATGCTGCAACCAGGAGTGCTCCAATACTTCAGTACCTTCAGAACGTCCTTCAGTAGGACCACTTCATCCCTGAGCTCATCCCGCTCATTCCGGATGGCGTCAGAATATTCCTTCTGCCTCTCTAAGGCCTAAGGTAATGAGCCCAGGAGGAGAGGTGGAGAAACAGGGTGTGAAGAGACCAGGTAAAGGACAGAACATAGCCCAGACCAGAAAGGAAAACAGAGCAGATGCAGTGCTAACAAGCTTATCATCACAGTTTTATACTGCATGAGAAAAACACTAGGTGGAAGACCCACTTGTATGTTAGTACAACTACACTCACACTCTTGTAATAGGAAAATAAAAATAAACTTTTATTGCACAGACTTAAAAAATTTCAATTCCCATTAAAAGTAGCATATAATAATAACAGATCTACCGTCTAGTGACTACACAACAGAAGGAATTCCTGTTTTGCTATTGACATGAATAACAAAGATCTCCTAGATAGGACTGTGTGCACAGGGCCCTGCACACCATACCCCAATCTTTTTATCCTTCCACTCCAGGGTTTCCTGCAGGTCAGAAACCTCCCTAACATAGCCATCCTGCTTCAGTCGCAGCTGGCGGACCTCCTGGCCACCGAGAATCAGAGGGAGAAGAGAGGCAAGAAGGAAGAGCAAGAAGAGAATGAGGCATAGGTACAAGAAGCCAGGAAAATGTAGAGCTTTTCCAACCCGACCTCCCTGAAGAATCTTTCTTTCTAAAGGATCATTTAGTGGATTAGAACTAATGGGGTTGATGCCCTTGTACTGTTCCCCACTGGCTAAGACAGTAACATTGCTTTTGCTACAAGATCATCCCAATGGTCTCAATGGCTCAATCCAAACAGTACTCTGTGACTAGCAGGTCCCAAGTCTCTGAATTGCAAATGAAAGTGCTACACCAAAGGTTCTCCAGTTTTTGGTGAACAGTGTATGAAATGTAAAAGATTTAGTTCTAAAGAAATTCACATATTTCATAACAAGGAACTGCAGCAACCCATAAATCCTGAAGCCTGTAAAACTCGACTCCATTCAAAAATCTTTTTAATTCTTACATATACATACAGTAACTACTGGCCTGTTGACAACATGTCGTCGATTTGTATCTTGGTACTCACAGTTAATAATTCTTCACTTTGTCGGAGAGTCTCTTTCATCTCGTTAAACTGGAACTGTAACACGCTGTGGGCATGCCTCTCTCTTTCATATTCCTGTCCGGAAAAAAAGACACTGAAATCTGTCCTACGACCAATTCCCCCTACTGCACATCGCCCACAATCCTTCCAACCCCATGCTCACACTGGTGTCCTGGGCTTTCCAGAGAATATCTTTCTATCCTTAAAGCACCTATCCACTTTTGCTATGCATCCCCTTGTATCCCAGGAATCTCTGAATCTAAAACTGCCTAGATTATCAGAAGCTTCAACATCACCTCTTATAAACTTTCTTAAATGTCACCCTGTCCTATTTCCTTTTCTGTTCACTCCTCTGCTCTCTTAATTCATTTGCACCAATTACTGACATCCATTCTGTTGCCACACTTTTACAGTCCACTGGCTCTTGGCCTTTTCACTCACTTTAGTTTTTTCTTCATATGCTCTCCTGGTTTCTGAGAGCTGCTCCTCCAGCTCCATCAGGGAGTCCTTCAGCGTGTCCACCTGGTACATCAGATTAGACTTCTCATTGTCCATCTGGGCATTGGATACCATGGATTTCCTATACTTCTCCTCCACTTCAGCCAGAGAGTCCTGTAGGGAACAGAACTCCAGATTTAAAGTCTGCAATAATGAAAGAAGCAGGTTAAATCCCGTCTTTTGAAATATATTCTTATAATTAAAGATTAAAAATGAAACCTTTTTTTTTAAGTTTTCTACCCGTCACAAAAAAATGAAAATGTATACATATATATGATTTTGTAAAGAAACAAGTCATAGGTTTATTACATGCTGAAAAAAAGAAGAAAGAGAACACAACGTTTCGGCCGCGGAGCCTTCTTCAGGTGCTTTTTCAGCAAGAAATAAACCTATTGTTCCTTTGCAACCTACGCATGCTGACGCAGCTACCCACCTGAACTAATATGATTTTGTGTCCATCTGGATGGAAACTATGCAGTTTCAGCAATGTACAGTATACCTGTACAAACATTTATTTTGAAGCAAAATGCTTGGAAAATGAAAAAAGACCATAAAAAAATGAATTCTGAAACGATCATGGCTTTTTAATCAATAAGCCAGATGGAACAAGCCGTATATGTTCAAGGCATAGCCAGACACAATTTTCTGCTTATCTTAGTTACACCATAGTTTGAATATGCAGTTATCCAGCTTTAACTGTAGTTATAGGAATTTTAAAAATGATGGGTCCTGAGTTCTCTTAGGGCAATGAGAACATGTTATCATTCGGAACTGAATGCATCGGCAGATAAATGTGCTGTTATAACGTCAGTGTTTGCAACCAGTCTTCAGTTCACTGCAAACAATCTTCTCGGATACCGAAAATTCTCAACCTGTTTTCCCGAATTTACAGTGAGGACAAAAATATGTGATTTTAATAAAGGGTTTTCCATTCTTCATTCAGTACAACATGCACTGTTACATAAACCACTTGTTAGGAAAATACCTTTGTATCTGCATGCAAGTGTTTTTTTTTTTTTTTGGAGGGTTAATTTGTTAGGTTTCCACTCTTCATTCATAAAATACCTTGACTTCTTTGAGCCCCTGTATATATCTGAGTTCCACATCCTGAACCTGATCCTTCAGCTCATGAATATCCTGAGACGGAAAGCACATTGGAAATGGAAAGTTGAGGGTGGCCACTAGGGGGAACCCCGGCGCAGAGTGAACAGCCTGAAGCTAAACTAGACTGTATTTGAGCATGACTATGTCAGAGCTCACAAGCCTGACATGATATACTGTAGGATGCGACATATAGTATATGACAAACTAAGCACACACTGAAGCACACATTTATTTTTGCCTCAGAAGTGCCCGTCTAGAAAATTAAAAAAAACTTATCTGCAAAGCCACTGAAATTTTAATTCTTTACACACAGCCCATTCAAAAGTAAAAGCTGCATACTGATTAAATAAATGTCCCCATTATCACATAACACTAGCAAATGTGGAAAGATTCTATACTGCATCACCACAGGTTCTTGGGGGCTCCAAAGCATCCTGAACCCATTTCATACTGGTTTGAGAATAATGAAACCACGAGAAATTCTCCAATCAGGATTTAATGGTAAAGACGACTGAAACTCAGCTGCAAAGTCTTTTTAGCCTCTAACTAAAGCCATTGATCCTGTAAAAACAAATATCACTACCGGGACAGACAAATGCTAAGAAAGTGGGTGCTGAGAAACGTGAAGGGTTTGTTATGTTGGCAGAAGAACATCTGGTGGGGGCATTCTATCCAGATGGCTTTACCTTAATCTCTCGAATAGAGGCTTCTGTGTCAGCAGAGATGGAGGTATCCCCACTCCCTCTCCGAGAAGATGACCCTCCCAGGGAGGCAAGGGTAGCAGCTGACAACGTGGAAGCCGTCCGAGATCCCTGTCGAAATGAAGAGATCCGTCACGGACTGCACATCCATCATCTTCTCTAAAAACTTTCCCGGGCACACTAAGGATGGTTAAAACTACTGCCCTTTGAGCGCATCAATGAGTCACTGATCGATTAACTGGTGTGGACTGGCAATAAAACGGAATTTGATATGAAAGGCAGGTGACTATTACAAAGATTTACTTCCAAAGGTTATCGAATATACAAAAATACATTAACTCGAAAAATGAAATGATAAGGTATTTTGAAAATCAACTCTAAAAAATATATTCCTAAATGTAAGCAATATGATGTCCTGAAAAACATTTGCACACACCTACACATTAATACATAATATAGGCACAATCTTGGACAGCACGGTGTGCTGGACCCTGAGTTCAACTCCTGGGGTGCAACCTGCTTGGAGTTTGTATGTTCTTCCTGCATTTGTGTGGGTTTCCTCTGGATGCTTCTGTATCCTCCCACAGTTCAAAAGACTTACTGGTAGGTTAATTGGCTTCTGTAAATTGTCCCTAGTGTGAGTGTGTGTGTTTGCATCTGCGTTTGTCCTGTGATGGACTGGTTTTTCCTGGCTTGTTTCCGTTACTTGCCAGGTTAGGCTCAGGCATTCCCTGTGACCCTGTATTGGATAAAATGGTTAAGAAAATGGATGGGCATATAATCTTACAGCATCTGTGTGGTGCAGTATTTTTTGTTTATTTTTTTGTTCGGTCATTTTCTCTTTCCTCTCTTAGTTGTTATTTTGGTAGTAAAATACGCAAATTGTTTTCAGAACAGAGGGATTCATTTTTAGCTCGCCCAGACGTCTGTACTACAGTATGAACAGCCTAAAGTTCTTAAAGGAGGGGGGATTATGAAGAATCATTTGAGAGCTGGAGGGTCTTGTGACTCATAAGCAGGTCAGCCAGCAGGTCTATTAACTGGCACCTCTAAGTGAATGCCAGTGTGCAAGCTCACAGTTTCAAGGAAGAAGATCTCTATCACAGGCTTTCAACTCCAAACGTGCACCAAAGGTTTTAGTAATGCATGTTCCCTTACCATTTCAAAAGAGCAAAGCAGATCATAAAACAAGGACACCAACCTTTTCCAGGAAATCCCTGTCTGACCTCTCTTCCACCTAAAAAAAGGAACTTTGTTAAAATTTTGAGCGCACTTTAAGATAGAAGACAATCACATCGAGCAGCTCTGCCGTTTTGCATTTCCTATCACCTCATTTTCATGTTTGCACTCAACACTTTGCCATCTAGATATGTGAACAAAAGGTCCGAAAAAATGCAACCTTTCACTTCAGTTAAATAGATCCATCTGTGTACCAGCACAGACAAAATCAACAGACATTTTTCTGAAGTTGTGAGTCCCTGATATTCAAAAGGGTTTAAAATTATTATATATGAACGGCTGGTAAAATTATATACCCAAAGATAATAGGAATATAAAATCATACATAATACAGAACATCTGTTGTAATGATCATCACAAGACAATTTCAAAACATTTTCAAATAAATGTGTTCATTACCCCATTAAATGTGTGTATTACCATGTGGAGAACTGATGAAAAACCATACTTACTGTTAATTTGACAAATATTACCATTCAGCGGAGGAATATAAAACTCAACTACAACAACAGTTGTACAGTAAATAGAAATGACCAAGTGAGGAAAATGAAGAATAAAGAAGCAAAGTTTGTCAGGATAACCAGTCTCACACTGATGAAAATATAAGAAAAATACATTGATTTTTATTGTAATTGCTACTGTAGTGCCTTTAAAAAATATTAGAACATTAAAACATACTTTTGCTCAGCCCAGTGATTTCAAATGACCATGAGAACATGGACACAAGCAGCTGACATAGATTTCAGAGTGTAAAAATCAGTATTCGGCTACAATCTCTTAGAGGCAAAAAACTGCATGAATTCCCCAACCCACTGAGCACACCAAACTCTTGTGTAATCATTTGAGATGCATTTTTAAGCCTTGCAGCAGCCACTTGAGTTCTTGCTTATTGAGGTGTTCTCACTTCTGTTTCCTTTGTTTCTGTAAGTAAAATGCATATTCGACTGGATGTAGCTAAAGGCAGTCTAAGATTTTCCAAATGAATTTGTTTACCTTTGTTGCATTAGCTACAGTATATTGTATGTTCTGAATCACTGTCATGCTGCATGATAAACTGCAGGCCACCCAACACATATGAAAGTATTTTTTCCATATAAGCTGACAAAATGTTTCTGTTACCTCATAATTCATTCTGCTATTCACTATCTTCACAATGTTTCAGCATTTGGTCTTTGGAAAGTACAAAGCTTTTATTAGTTTTATGGACAGATGAGACCAAAACAAACCAAAGTCAGAGAAAGATGAAAGTATTAAGAAAGAAAGGTACTGCAGATGCTCCAAAGAACACCACTTCAAATGTGAAGCTTGGCAAAGTTAGTCATGACCACCTGACCAAATAAGACAGTTGGGTGATGATTTAATGACCAAAGAAGTGAAGACTGCATCTGTCGTCTGGAGAAAGGGGGAAGACACAATGTAATGTGTGGCTCCAGTGGAAGAAGTAACTGAGAATATAACTGAAAGACAGACCTACAGTATGGATAAAAGTTTTGTCATTTTTGGAAAAGTCTGAGTTTTAAGAAGAGTCTCGGGGAGAGAGTCTGGAACCAAGCAAGCATCTTAGATGTTTGGATATCTTTATAAGCACATAGAAGAAGAATACTAGTTTCTCAAAGAATTGTTTAGGGTTTTGTTTTTGCGATTTCGATTATTTCCCTGCGCTGCAAAATAAAAAGCATTATTTCATCTTTATGATTGCATTGTTGCATCTTTTTACCTGGGACCCGCCTATTTAAAGATCCCATCCCAGGCACCCTGTGCCCTGGTCACAATATAATTATATTATTCATGACTCTGAATTTACTTTCCCTCTTTCTAAGTATAACAAGGTGAGACCCTACAGAATGAAGATAGTGAACTCATCCCCTATTCTTTGAGACAGGTGTGAACTGTACATACAGTACTGTACATGCATGCATTCACAGCAAGCCCATCCTGGACCACAGGACCACACGCATGCCACTCACGTCGGGCAGATCAGGGATAGTGACATCATCCAGGTCTCTCAGGACACTGCTGCTGCTAGCTGCACTGCGCAGGAACCCTGCCACCGAGCTGCAGTCCTCCTGAGACTGGGCAAGGGGCGCAAGACAGCAACACATTTTGAGCGCACCGAGAAACACACCAGTGCCAGCAACCACAGACACGCAGCCCTCATCCCTGCTCTTAACCACATGTACCACACAACCTGCCACCCTCAGTACGGTGCAGCTCTTAAACTCTCTACTTGCCACCAGCACAAGATACATCTCATCCTTAATCAATCCAGTGTTCTGACATTGATGAACACTCTACCTGAGGTTCTGTGAAGCAGACTTATTGTGCTTTTACCTTCAAGATGGAATCCATTGAATACATTTGCCCGCCAGAGAAGAATTTGACTAATAAACAAGCCATAGCTGCAACTCAAGATGAACTACAGTATATCAAAATTCAGGAAGTGAATGCAGGAAGTGCTGCAAAGCCAACCACAATACAAACTGGTGACACAAGACCCCTGTGTTTTGTTGCTCACTGAATAAACAGCTGCAGGTGTTGTCTTTACTCTACACCCTTTTTTAGACAAAAAGGTGTAGACAGCCCCAAGCTATTGCCTGCCATGTATCCATCTTCTTTATCTGTCATTGAACACAAAAACCATTCCACAAAAACATGGTGCTCTTTTCTTTACAGGTCCTCTAACTGCATGTACCATCCTATTAGCAAAATAAATGAAAACGGAATTCGGCAACCCTTCTACATTAGCCCATCAGCCCAGGGGCTGAAGTCAGGGGTACAAACAGGTGGCATCAGGGCTCCAGAAGCTACAGTATTTTATTGTATTTTATAAAAAATTGTTGTTGAACTAATGGGCTTATGGTGTACAAGTTATTTTCAAATACGCTCTCGTATTTCATGCTGATGAAATTAAGAAGCTGTGGGAAAATAAATGCTGCTTAATGTTACTTGGGTGCTTTGTTTCTCAATAAGCAATTTCATTGAGAACTTAGGGGGAGAAAAGCATGTGATTTTCAAGGCATTTTAGAGATTAAAACGGATAATGCTTGGCTCTGTTGGGTTGTTTTTGTACTAGTTGACTGCACTGATAAGCATTAATCATTTTCTATTCTAGTGACCCAGATTAGAACATACATGGATACATTATGGCTATACTTCCTATGTTGTTTTCAGTAGGCCACCATGGTCACCTCTGTGTTTGTGACCACTGCTCTTGATTGTTTCATAAAGCAGCTCTTTCTTGGTTAACACTACAAACTGGCACATATGATCTAAAAAGAAAACACCAAAATGATTAAATAATAACAGTATTAAAATACCTACTGAGTTCTTAACTATCAATGTGGACACTAAGTAAAGCACTGAAGGCGTGAAGGTTTTTAATTAGGGTAAGAGGTGTCCAATTCCAACTTTGAAAGATGGAGGTTGTTGAAATAGTAACAGTAACAGTGAATTCTACATTTAATGCAATACACAATTAAAACAACATTTTTTTTGATAGGCGAGATTATGTACTTAACAATGAATACTAATAATTGATTATATGAATATTGATAAAAAAATAATGTATAGTAGCCAACAAGCAGGTTTTTCTTACAGTAACAGGCATCACTGCAGTGAAGAAGACTATTTTGGATATACTGTACAGTTGGTCAGACCCAGCTTTTTCTTATTCTTGTGTCTGGTTAGGAAATTTGCATTATATCTTCCTTATAGAAAGGTCCACAGCTCGACTGCACTTAGCTTTTATCAGTACATCAGTAGCCACAGTACACGGCTACTGATAAGAAAAGCTCAGATGATGTGTTCGTTGTCTGTAGTATGTATGTTCTTTCTCTTTTTCCTTTTTGATTTTGTTGTTTAACTAAAAAACTGTAAGGTGCAATGTGTATAGTATCTCTGATGTGCATGTGTTCTGTTTTGTTCTGTAATTGTATCAGTGTTTCTTTGTGTTGGTTTAATCAAATAAAAAAATGAAATAAAATAAATGAATGGTTATAAAGCCAGTAGCCAACCAGGTATGGTGAAAAAGTTGAGGCCATCAACTAAAGAAAGCCTTTTCTATTTTATGTTGTTTTCAACATCCTGTGATACACAGCAACTTTCACTTCTAAACTCAAATGCACAGAAACATTCCCTGAGAATTAAAATCAGTTTTTCACTTCTTCTCCGCAATGTACTGTATTAGCAAGCCTCATTTGAAATAATAGGCCTAGAGCCTGGGCTACAAGTTACTGTCGGGGCCTGACAAAGAGAGCTCACCACAGGGCTGGCGCGAGCAGAACTGGCCCTGGAAGAAGCACGCGAGTTGGACCCCAGAAAGCCACTGTACTCCGATGGCTAAATATCATCAGAATGGCAGGCAGGAAGAAAGACAGGGAAGAAGAGAAAAAGAAGTTCAGATAAGGCGGAAGAAAAATAACAGTATAGAAAGCAAACAAGCAAAAACCAAGCAGTGAATTCACCCATTAAATATGTGACCCAAAGATTTCTAAATTTAAACAAAATCATCAAAGTCTGTTAGAACACAGGGCTATTTAAAGTAAGCACTGTACAACCAGTGGATTAAAATTAGTATTACAAATTATGTTGGTGGTTTAGACAAAAATATGGCAGCAAACTTACTCATGGTTTCAATTATTCAAGAAAAGAGATGAAGAAAAAATACAGTATAACATCCTCTAAACTGTACATACTGTATGGCTGTTTTCTCAAATTCCTTCAACATGCAACAATAGGAATTACAGTACTATTCTAAGAGTTCTGGAGTTGAATCCTAATGAAACTGTAAACACAAAATGCAATTACAGTACATGCCAAAGTATCAATCAAAGCAAGAACAAACAAAAAAGACATACAAATATAGTTTTCTAGTCATTACAGACTGTTGTTGGTTAACACAAACCTGTATACTGGGGCCCCTAATACTGGTCTTAGGGATGCCCATATCTGCTGACTGTTGTTCAAGCTGAGCTCTTTACTTCACTATCTTATCTAAATTACTAACCTGCTTGACTGGAACATTTGCAAGTTTTCTTCTTTCACAAAAAGTTGGGGATTTTACCGCAACTTTTTGTGAATTATGTATGAAACATTAAAAACATCCCCCATCAGGTGTAGGAATGAAAAATAAAGATCAGATTAATACAATGTTAGGTCAACTGAGGGATCAGTTATGTAACTCAAAGCTCAGCTGGAATAAAACCCAGCAGGTTGTGAGAGTCTCAGGTACCAAAGATGTTAACATTTAAGAAGGACAAAGCAAATCAGAGATAGGTAAATATTACATTTGACCACCCTCTTTGTCTTCAGAACATGCTCAGAAAAAGCAGTTGTTAAACTCTGCAGATCAAGATCATTCACCACCAGCACAGAGGACACACACAAGGCAAGCTGCTGAGAAAGAGAAGATGATCTTACAGCTCGAGAGTTAGAGCCATTAAACCGCCGGGCTGCGCTGCATACACTGTCCTCGTAAACAGAGCCCTACAGACAGGAAAGAGCCACACATGGTCACTGACACAGACCAACATTCTAAAGCCACAGGGCCCACTGCACACACACAGACCAGCGGGCAAAAGCTCAGAAAAAGCCCCACCTCAAGGGAGCTGGTACAGGGTTAGTAGGGTAATTCAGTGCTCTAAACTGTATTGAGTTTTACATCAAACGTCTTCATCCTTTCAGACACTGGGGTCATTCTTAATGCACATGTGAGACAGAGAGGTGACATAATGAAAGTAAGAACATGGGTGTCAGCATAGCACAGCCATGCAGAAACACAGACTACACATCGCCCCTGTGGAGACAGACTGTTACACAACTGTTAAATCAGCATGCTAGTTTCACTTATCCTTAACAAGGAAAAACACTTCAAAACCTTTGAAAAAACTTGGAACGCTCTTACTTTTCCATTACAGAAACATAACAGATACCAAAAAAAAAAAAGAGTTTCAGCATTTACGGTATTAGTTACCATTCTCTCTTGTTGAGCTAATAAAATTTGACCAACGGGGGCTTAAAAACTGGGGTGTTTTACAATACATATTATTTAAATGCTTTAATGGAAACCTGAATTAGATCAACAATAATCCAGTTAAAATTCTCTGAAATTAAAGGAATACAGCCTGAAATTTGTAATCTGACATGACTCTCATCAGCAATTGTAAAATACTGTTAATATACTGTAAGTTACTACATAGAATTTTCTCCTAAAATAACTTTCTGATGAAGGTCAAAGTTGAGTATTGTTCCGTTTCCAGCTTGTGTTGTAGGGGTCAGTGAGCTGAAGTTATTGTGAGTGCTCAGGTGATCAGTACAGTGAATATGAATGTAAAACACAAACCCTGTAACTCCGATATTGGGGAGCATCACTATATAGCATGGAAGGCTATGGAGGGAAAAAGAAGGAATGCATATATACAAATACTTTAAAATATATTGACAATATAGAAATTGTTAATAGTGTGAGGCATTTGCCACTGCCTCACACTTTTCATTAAAGTTGTCGCTAGCCTTAGCTGGCAGGGTTTACTGGCTAGGTCTTTAACTGTAAATTGCAATCTTGCACACAGTATTTTTTTTAAATTGTGTCCCACTACTGTTGCTAATGAAGGCAGGGTCCCCAAAGAACCCTGTCCAGAAGCAGACGCATCAAAAAGAAGTGGTATGATCCACTGACACTAATTAGTAAATTACTGCTGCAATGAATTGACACAGTATGCTGGGAAAGCAGAGGAGACAAGTGGGGTCACCGTGCTGCAGCAGTTGCTGACTTGATGGCTTTTCTTAACAAGGCCTTACTGACCCTTATAATACAGTGCCAGTGTGAAATAAATTTGTGTTTTTCTGAATTGTTTAGTGAAAAATGGCACGATGTACAGTAAGTCCCTGTCCTAAAGAGAGAGAATGATTCTTGAAAAACAAACTGAAGTGAACTTAACTATCTGAAACATCACATCTAAAATCTTTTTATCTACTTCACCCAGCTCAACATTATTAACACACCACCTACAGTCAAGGAAAGGAGAGCAAGAGAAATACGAAAATAAAGAAACTAAGAGCTTGAGAACACAAGAAGGAATTAGGGAAAATTAATGTGTGGGGAAAGGGGATTAAAATTAGGGAGGAAAACAGAATGGGAAAAAGCGTTCAAGAATGTAACAGTGGAAAAGAGAATGTCAAACAGATGGTAAATGAGTGAGAGAGACAGACCCGGGCTCCATTTTGAGTGGACTGCAGTTTGGAGGAGGAGAGGCTGCTGTTGCTGTACAGGTCAGAAGAGCAGTAATTCCCCTAGAGAGAGCCAAGCCCAGTGAGAAAGGATGGAGAGAGGTGAAGAGAGAGAAAGATAACATGGTCAGATAGAGGTGCTGATCACACCTCGTCTTGGAAGGAAAGAAAATAAGGCAAAGTGACTCAAAAAGTGATCCGAGTACAGTCAACGGAGAAAACAACAGAGTACATACTGGCTACATATTAAATTGAAACCTCTACCCTGTCCTCTAAACCAGAGTTCTCACTCCCTGCACCACCAGCATAGCAGCACCAGAGGGTGTCAATTGGAATCACAAGACTGAAACTCTTAATTCTTTCACGTTTTTCCTCACTCAAAAGAAAAAAAAAACAAGTCAATTTAATCATATGCTCATGGTGGGAAAAGGGTCTTGAACTATGGTTTCTTGAACTAAGGTGGCTTTGATCTGTAATGAAATAATCCCTAAAGATTTTTAACATTAAAGAACAAAAACTTCTGCTCACAGGTGGTTCTCAGACATTAGAAAGACTTTTAGACATAAGCACATTAGAACTACATTAAAGGCATAGCAGAATACTCATCCCAAAAATGTGTTTAAACATTGTTACTTGTGGCTACCCAAGCTCCTAAGTGAACCCTCAGCCAAACCAAACTACATGCAAAACCTAAGCAATGGAAACAAGCAATTCATTAGTGAGTTCCACCAATGCAAACAACAATGTACTATACAGTACTTCTTTTTACTATTTTATACAACAGGTTGCCTAAAATAATGTTGTTATTTTAAGCATGCAATGTTCAATAATTATAAATGAAAAAAGTGTGTCTGCTGTTGCAGATTGAGGTCCCATGCTGCACAGCAGCAACATCTGTAGACTCAACCCCCATGAACAAGGAAAAGGAACATCATCTGGGGTTCATTTATCTCTCCTGAACTCAGCAGTGCCTTATTTAAAAGGCTCCCCATGAAATCGGGCAGGGAGAGAAAAAAAAATCTCTTAAATGTTCATTTCAGGGAAACAGGGATATTGTTGCAAAGCAAAGAGATCAAAGGCTTCACTGATCATCGGCCCCATGAACTTCACTTGATATTTGAAGTGAGTGAAGACTGAAGAGAGAATTCCACACTGGTGAGAGGACCAGGAAAATTAAACCAAACACACAAACTCAAATAAAGGTGTTAGTGGACACTAGGCAAGACAGCTCTGTAACAAATGTCTGGGGGCAGAAAAAGGGAAAACCAACCAGCTGTAGATCATGTCTTGAAGACTTTGAAATTCTACTCTCATCACTGTGCCTTGAGCTCTGGGCATTTAAAAGAAAAAAAAATGATTCAAGTAAAAATAAGCAGTCTCCACGTATCGAAGTGTACTATAGCAGACTCCCATGCAGCAATAATTTCTGAGCAGAAAACCTTTACATCATTTTCAAATTCTGATGTATATGTAGGTTGCTTTCTGAACTTTTGTTTCAATATATAAACTGTTGAAAACAATATCTATACGGTTTACACAGTTATAAAATATACAGAAGGGTCCCTGTCCACCACGATGTGGGCAATGGTGACTTATTTTCTCCTCTTTTTTTAGTTAAATGCAGAGTTTGTGGTATTGAGTAGTACAGTAAGTGATGTAAGCAGCACTACTAACCCTACTGGACTTTCTACTCTGAGTTGATCCATGGTACCCTTCATCAAAACCATTGATCTGTTAGAACAGACAATTGAATAACAGAAAGTTAAGAATCATATCATGTATATAAACAGAGAGAGGCACACATTACTTCTGACAACTACCCTGCCTCAACCACCCAGACAGAAAAATTAAATGTTAACTTTAACCCTCAGAAAGTGGCCTCTCTCAGCAAGGCAACCGTTATTTTCCGCAGTACAGTATGTCTTTATACATCTCCAACTACATTCTAAAGCTCAGCTGTGCTGAAAATGCAGGTTTAATGGTGCCCACAAAGACTATAAAACCTTTAAAAGGCTCAGGGATTTAGAATATTGAAAAAATGTACACATAGATCTTTATCTCTAGGAATCCTTGTGGACGGGCATCACAGGAGAAAACCGGAAAATGCCAGTCAAATAAAATCACCACAAGCAGGAAACTGCATTCCTTTCAATGTGATAAACACACTCAGACTAAACTAAAGGTTCCAGCATTCTTTACAGATGCTACTTTGCACTGTTTCACACTCCAATCCAACATACACTACATACTGCTTTCGAGTGTTTCTTCTTCTTGGACTTCTTGCGAGACCCAGCCTGTAGGAAGGGACAGCAGTGAGCTGAGGGCTTGGACACTCACTCACATTGCACAGCTCAGAATGCCCATACACACATTTGTATCCTTATCACTGTGGGGACGTCCATCCATTTTTATTCATTTTTTTTTACCATTCCATACCCCGTCACAAGTAAACATCTACATCCTGTAAGGTGAAACCAGATCCAGAAGAAATATTCTGACACTTTATTTTAAAATAAAGTAACTTGCATTAATATAAAATCCCCAGATTGTCTGTCTGTCAGAAGTTACTAACTTTGTGGGGACGTTTGTTTTTCAGATTTTGTCCTCACATTGATAGCAATACATACCAAACCTCACACAAGCATGAGAGCTCAGGAAGAATGCCTGAGGAAATTAGTTGGGTTAAAAATATTTGGAAGGTAAAGGAATATATACTTATAGTATAAATGTACTTAAATCCATAAAAATGTTATCCCATTTTTATATTATATTTCAAAGCCAGGCTCCTGGATTACTGACCTTTGAGATGTCAGACAGTACAAGAGAAAAACAGAAGTACAACACACACCTTCTTTTCTTCAGTGGATGCTCAACTAGCCCTTTTCTGACTTTCTATGACTGCTGCACATTTGTATTTTATATTCACAGCCCACAAGGTAACAGGCCATAAAATCTAAAACAACTGAGCTAAAAAGGCTCACTGATGTATTTGTGTTGAAAAGGCAATTATAAAAAGTACTGGCTGGCACATTCTTACTAAATACCCACCAAGGACCAGATATCCGTAGGCACACCTTGCCAAGTTACTTCAACACACAGTTTACTAATCAAGTATTCATTTTATTACACCAAAACAACACAAAAAATCTGGTAAGCTATCATCTTAGATTTGCCTAGATTTGTGGCTAAGGCTACAAACAGTTATTCATGCTAGAGAATGATAGGCTAAACTGTTTTGGACCTTCTTGCTATGAGTTGGTTGGTTTACTAACAAAGCAATGCTAGTAACAGTTTCTAGGTGTCTGTAATTATATTTTCATACCTGAAAAAACACTAGACATAGTTACAATATTGAGTTCATAGAGAAAATTCATGACCACCTTTACTGACATTATGTGTCTTATCAACTATGAATCTACCTTGTACAGTCCCTGATAAAAAAATGCCCATTTACTGTAAAACGTAAAATTAAGTGAAAATGCAATGTTTCAGGACATTCCTCAGCAAACTCATGCATAACAGTTTTACTCTCTAGTGAAGTGTTAAATTCGTTAAACAGTTACCGAATTGTATTGGTGTGTCCTAGGAGTGTAAACCAAAGCAAACCCCAATTTACATACATTTGTCAGTAAATGCCTGACTCTGTTAGCAACACACACACACTATGAAAAACCTATCAAACCCCCAGATTTTCTATCCTGATGTTATCAAACCAAAGGTATTAAAGTATATATCCCTTACTGTTAGCCTAAAAGAAAATCTCCAGTTTTTAAAATTCTGAATGCATGTCTATTGTTTCTTAACAGTAACATATAATGGAGTTTACACAGATTAATTTTAAAATTACAAACTTTAATAATATTTAAGGAGTTACAGGCTTTCTGCGGACATTGGCTTAACCAAAAATATGTACTGCTGACCGTTAAAGGCGTTATCAGGTGCTTCTTTGGTCTTACACTCACTAAGCTGTTTGTCTAGTTTTGCATCTCGATGTGCAAGGTTAAACAACACTCTCATACACCCCCATCTGCCGTTCTTACCCCTCCATCGGCAGTGACAGAGTCTAGGTCTGACTGTTCAGAGAAAAGACAGAGCCGTTATAGTCAGTAGCCTCTGCTCCACCCCACAGTGACTTAAATCAACACTGCCTGGAAAAAAACTGTAAACCTCTCACATTGAAAAACCCATTCATATATTGTAAATAAATCCAAGACTTATTACTGCCTTTTGCAACTTCCTAGCTTTGCATGGACTGGTCGCTCTGGATATCCATAATTCTTAATGGACTGTTTCAATAGGTGACTGTGTACACACACATTTAATCAGAACTGATCAGGATTCACAGTTGCTTCACGAAACAAAGAAACGATACCTAAAAAGCCAAGTGAAACTTTGAAAACAGAAAAGAAATGCAAACATCTAAGTGAAAAAGATTCTCCTGATCAGATGAAGCTACCAGGAATACAACAAACACAGAAATACTGACCCTCAGACTCCCGCGGCTCCCAACAGACATCCGCTCATCATCGTCTGAGATCTGGGAGAGAAGAAGACAGAGGATGACTGTTAGATTTACAGTGTTCTCAGACTGAAACCGAATCCATGGGCTTCAGCTCACACACGAATTCTCCCTGAACTTTCACATTTCACTGGTGGTGTGAAGGACATTTTAGATCTTGCCCTGTAGAGCTAAAAAATGAGATCATGCAAAAGGCATTTCATTCTAATAACCATTATCTACCAGGTCTGACCTTTACTTAACTAGGAAAACAAAACAAGGGCAAGTGATAGCAGAGGATATCTGCAAAACCCATTAAATAGCATTATTAACAGCAAGATTCCTATCATGCGGGTATTGTGCTTGTGGTTACTTTAACAATAGTGTTTCTATGTTGTCTCACAAAATAAATAATAATATTAGGCTAAAAATATGATAATTTAAAAAATAATTAGAATAATACTTGGCAGAAAAAAAATACCATAGCTCCTAACCTCTGTTGTGATTTTTTTTAAAAGTTAGAAGTACATCATGGAACAGAACAGCATGTAACTTTTTATAATGGACATAAACATTCACTTTAAAAAAGCCTGCAAGAAAAATGATGTACAAAGAAAATATAAAACCTTCTTTACGTAAATAGAGACACAAAAAATGCACAATTTCCATTTCAGTAGTCATATTAATTCGTTTAAATTATTCAGTCTTCGTAGAGTTCTATGGAGACAAAAGGTGAGCGTGCTGGTATGACTGAAGTTTGACTGATTGCTGTGTGTTTTAATTAAGAGAGTGACTGGAATCTAAATGAAGGATACAGTGCAATGTGGCACTGACACTCAGTAGAATTCTGTGCATTATATTCCCCCCTCCCGTCACCATCACCCCCTGCGAACACTGAAGTCATAAAGACTTAAGGCTCAAAAGTTATTTTTGACTTTCACAATGGCAAAACAGAAAATGCCAGTAACATGAGCACAAAAAAAAACAGTCCATTTGAGCCACAGTACAGCTGAAGTTGCAGACTCCTCCAACAATAAAGCCCATAGCTATACAGTAGCTGAACTGTTTTTAGAAAAGAAAATCACAAGAACAATATAAAAAGATACTACATCTGAAACTGGGGATAAATGAATGTCATAGTAATTCTAATGCAAACGATCTCAGAAATATAGATGAAAAGGAATTCTGCCAAAATGCATCGCCATTCATTGCTGTCTCTTAGTCTACACTATTGAACCTGCTTGGCCATCACAGCACGTCCAAGGCGATCCACCCCCTACTAGTAACTCAAGAAGTAAAGAGAGACGAGGCGGAGCAAGTAGGACTAGCAGAGGCAGCAGATACAGACCGAGGTGTTTCTCCGTGTGCGGCGGGAGTACCTCTCATTGTCCTCCTGGCCAGGCAGTGTGTGGAGGACAAGAGGGGTGGGAAATATGAGAGAGAAAGAGACAGAAGTCAGAAATTCACTGCTGGCAGCCCCGGACAGGAAGAGAGCAGCTACTGTAAATCGCAAGCGGTATTGAAAATCAGCAAAAAATCAAAAGCACTCTATAAATATGCTCTTTATTTTTCCTTTTCACCACAATAAAACGTCATGTTCTTTTCTATATGTGGTTGGTGCCACTAAAGCAGCAAGCACATGCGAAAAGCGTGCACTTAATAACCCACAGCAAACACACACCACGGTTAGAGGGTGCCACCGATCAAGCCCATTTCAACAACCATCGCACTACAGACTACCAGTCTGCCTACAGTATGTCATCCACACCATGCTGCACTTCGTGAGCCTGTTAGTACTTCACACATACATTTAAATAAAAAATATATAAGCAGCATACATGCAAGGACTAGTAACACAACAGTGAGAGGCTGTTGCGTCCACCTTCCATTTACCAGCTAATTCCAAGTATGAAGGTGCAGCAGATCAACCAAAAGGCCTAAACAAAGAAATGACTAAACCGACAACCATTTATTGGTACAGTCCTAAATCATACAGCATCATGGTCATACCATCCACTGCTCGATATCGCCCCATTTGTTATCCAGACCGTAGTATTTCTGAGGGCGGAATGAAGGTGAGGAGAGAAACAGAAGATGAGAAGAACAAATTTAGAGAATGAAAACAAATGCTTTTTTACCAAGTCAGTGATAAGACTTTTGCTGTTGCAGTTTTATTGAATTTGTTGAGGTTGTTTCTTTCACCAAGACCAGACCCATAAACTCTCCGATTCAAAAGGTAAGCACAAGCATGTAGTGGAGACATTTGATTGAAGAATAGCCTGTCAGCAGATGTCTGAAAATATGGCTAGTTGCTGTCTATGCCAAAATAAGATACACACTGCTGTGCACAAACCATAGACATCTTCAATTATTCTAATATTTTCATTTGATGCTTTCCTTCTTCAGGCTGAAACACAACTCCATGGTGAATCTATACCAACATGTTATCCATTTTGATTTTTTTCTAACTTTTAGCCCTGATAGATACTGTAAATCTGTCATTTTAGTACATAGTTTTACTTTTATGGATACAGTATGATAAACAGAACAACTGAACTTCATAACAAGCAACTCCAGACAATGTGTCAATATTCTTCGAGCTCTTGTGAAGCCGTTTTGGAAGATTCTGATTAATGTATATTAAAGACTAGTTAATAGCAAGACTGGTTCCTTCTCATACATACTACTCCCTAATGAAGGTGATTAGTTTCCAATATTATACTACAAGGTTTCCTAATTCTGGATGCTCAATCGTACATACAGTACATATAGTGGACAAAAAAATAGAAACACCAATGTAAAGCCACTAAATATGGTGTTGGCCTGTATTTGCCTCAGAATAGAGTCAACCAACATCTGGAATTCTGAAACACCAGTCTTCCACGAGAAAGTCAATCAACTCACGCTTGGACACGTCTCAGGTGTCATTTCAGAATTCAGGTTCAGTTCTGGTGCTATGCTCATCAAACCACTGATCAACCTTAACCGTGCTCTGTGGAGGGAGGCAGTCATCATCAAAGACATCCCTCCAGGCAGGAAAGAAATTCAGCTACATGGGATGATGCACTCAGTAGCAGTAGCACTGATCTTACCTTCTAAGGGAACAAGAGCATACAAACTATCCATCCATTCATTCATTTTCAAACCTCTTTATCCAATACTCAGTCATGGGGCAGCCAGAATCTATCCCGGCAAGCAACAGGTGCAAGGCAGGATATACCCTGGAGGCGACACCAGTGAGCATACAAGTAACGGCAACAGTATTATGGAACTAAGATCTCAGGGCTGTAGAGTTCATTCGGTTGGCAACACAACTACATTCATATGTGGTGAGGATGAGCTCACCATATCATATTTCTTCACCGCCCAGTGGTCCATTGCCAATACTCTTTGCACCACTAGACTCACAAAAGTGCATTGCCAGTCTGATGAGTGCTTTCTGCAATACAGCCCAACTAAAGTATCTTCCTTTGTGGACCATTTTTGATCTCTGCCCTCTACACATGCCCACGTTTGAAATTTAGAGTCAACTGATCTGCAGTTGTTCAGGCATTCTAAATTCATACATGGGAATTACAGTTCACTTTTATCCACTGTTGCCCTGTGCTGATGTCCTTCCCACAGATTGTGATGTTGATATTACTATAAACATTATTGCTCATAAAAAATTGAGCGGTCTTGATCACCGAAGCTCCTGCGAAATGTGTCCCAACAGTTTTGTTTCAATATTACAGCTGTCTTGCCTTGCTGTAATGCTAGCCATAATTTTAGTTAACCAGGTCTGTCCGGCATTTTTATACCTCACTCTGAGCATGGTGGGCTGTTATATGTTTAGCTATCGAATGAGTCACACCTGTGTTGAAGCTCTTGTTTTCAATATAAATGGTGACCCTCATTTACCCCAGGTGTTTCCATTTTTTTGTCCATTTGTTGCACTGTATGTTGTAAGTCCTGACTGAACTTAAGATTTCTGCACAGCAGTGCACCTTCAAGCAACAATTTTAACAACAGTGAGGAAAGATGTGAGGAAGATACAAGCAGGGAGAGAAGGGAGAGAAGCCTACCTTTTGAACCTGATAGATCTACACATGTCAGCAGGGAGAACAGGAGAGGGAACAGGAGAAGTGGAACAGAAAAAGAGATGAAAAAGACACGAAAATTACTAATTAGAGCAGATGGAGAAATAGCTTTGACTGTATACAAAACAGAGCATAAAAAAACAAACTTGTCTTTTTTTGTGTGGACAATCTTTTTTTGGAACCAGAATTACAAAAAATGCCAGTCCCAAAGAAATCTTAAATATACCATGTGACCATGTTACTAGGGTAACTAGAATTCTTTTCATTATTCCTCAGGGTTACTTGTGCTGGTGTCCAAACGCAGTATTGTGAATGTCATCAGGGTTTGCCAGTTCCCATGCCTGCTGCCCAGTACTTAATTCCAAAAAATCTTTCTTGTTAAATGTTTCCCACATTAACCTGGAGCTGGTAACTCAATCCACTCTCTACAGATGCTTAAAGTAAAATGGTCTCTATATACTGTTACCTGGAGCAGCCTGCTAAGCCAATCAATAAATTAGACCATCGCAGTCAGAGCAGACTTTGCTAATGACCTCCAGACTGAGACAGAGCATCAAATTGAATTTGAGGTCACAAAAAGCAGAACAGAGTTCATTTCTCACAACTCTGGCGTCAGCTGAATCCAGTAGACATTTTCTAGATAGAAAATACATATGGTGTATTTATTCCTGCTTGGTAATGGCATTCACAAAGGTGCTACAAAAATAAAAAGGAAACAAATCATATCAATCAGTCGGCGTTCCTCTGGACTGTGACAGTGATGTTCAGGCAAAATCCATTTGTACAAGAGCTAGCCATCCCCTGATCCTTCAGCAAACAGACACACACTCCATTCCAAAAAGGGGTCCACTAAAATATAGTCAAACTGTCTCCGCATCTTACTTGATGAGTCTTCTCCTTGCCACATACAGCAATGTCACAAAGGCAGTGTTATTAACGTCTACAGTAGTAGACGGACCATCCTTCCAAAAGCAGGCTCTGAACTCTCCTTGTGCAGGTTCTAACCTGCTTCCTTGTGTATTATTGTCAAGGTGCTTCAATCTCTGTTTCTGTACTTGCTCAGGCTGCTATCTAACAACACCACATTAGTATAAAAACGTACTTTATAAAAAAGACATCTGCATACATTACATTGCCATCAGATGGAAATGTAATGTGAAAATACACAGTACTTTAACGTTAAAAAATGGAACGGAAAGGAGCCATATGCAAAACTACCTCCCATTCTCTGTTTACTTTCTGGAAACCAGCTTGATGTGTTTTAGAACCTATCTGATAAGATGTGTTGTTTGCATGGCAGGGAAGGAAAGCAAACACAGATGAGTACCATACAGCAGACACATGATAGGACACAATGGAAAAATAGAAAACAAAATGGAAAAAAATAAAGCATTCTTTTCAAGTTAAAATAGCACTAGGCCTGTAGAGTACTCACCAAGCATTCTTGTTCAAACAAAAAGAACACTTTTTTTAGTACCTGACTTTCAGTTAGAGAGTCAGTATGTTATGTGTCCTCATTTCTCAACACGGCCTCAGACTGCTTCCCCAGAACCGCTAATCCCTGATTTATCGCTTCATCTGCTGAGCTTCAAACTGACCCAGAATCTACACATCTACTCTTTGCTGTCTGACATGGTAACTGGGATAAAAGTCTTACCTCCTTTACAGTATATTCATTTCTTTATTAAATACTTGGAGACCGCCCCTCTTTCTCTGACAGTCTCTTTGTGAAAGCACCCCACTGCATTCAGCTGCCTCAGACACTGCCAGCTCTCGGAGCAGAATGCACTCTCACCTTATTACAAATGATGCTGACATTTAGCAGTGTGAAAGAGTGATGTAGCTGACTTCCCTTGCACAAAGCAGTGTCAGAAACTTTGGAGACTAAAAGGGAATTGGAACTTGTTTTTTTCAGGATTTAAAGAACATTACTCCATTGCTTTTACACACAGCAGTAGTATAAACTACTTCAATCTTACAAACTTGATTAACACAGGCCAAGTTTGTGTGCTTCTCATTTTTGAACAAATCTGAAAAGAACACACACTATATGTACCACAAAATGTTTATACAGTAAATTGTAACTGCCCTGCTCACTGCCACTTGATCAACTGTGCGGTGGAGCTGCTGGTGCAGACTGTGGTGGCTAAAGAGGGATCCATCTTCTACATAAAGGGCATTAGGATTTTGATAAATTGTCATGAAAATAAGAAACACAAATGCAAGGAATTATTATTAATAATATGCATTTAATAATAATGTAAGGGTTACAGGCAGTAACTATGTTACTGATGATAAAAAATTTGATGTAACACAAGTTTAGCTCTTTTTAAGTATTAATACTGCTTCTGTCCTTGGTACCAGGGAACAAACAATGAAGCCTCAGAATCTCCAACTAGAAGGTCATTAAGTGAATTGTATTTGACCATAAACAGGTAGTCTGGCTACATTTAGAAAAGTTTACTACTGCTCAATAATTAATCACATCAGATTATATGATCTCCCTCCTTTAAAGGTTTGTGAAAGCACTTGAGAGAAAATGACTATGACCTCACTGTTTGTGGCTGTTGTATGGCCCTTTGTGTCATACGTATTGATGGAGAGATGTATGTGGTTGTGAATCAGACTCAAAGTGCTGTTTCAGGAACATTTCTGAGTACTTGTTCCAAATGGTCAAAAAGTAACAAACACGTTATATTAAAGTACTACCACTTGATGTGAAGGTTTGTACATTTGAGAACCCAGAAGAGTCATGAAGTCAGAAGAAACAGACATGATCCCTGTTTCAACAAGGTTGTGGGTTCAAACCTGAATCCACTGGGGCTGGGGCACCTTTGAACACATATCTTTACCTGGACTGTTTCAGTAAAATACCCTGCTGTATGAAGGGATACAACTTTTTCTTGGGTTTTGTAAAAAGCAGAAGACAAATCAATATGGATTGGCAGGTATCAGTTGTAAACTGCTGGACCACTAAGGGAGCTGTGGGCCTAGCAACTGCTGCGATCTAAAAAAAAACAAGCCCTTACAATACAGCTCAACACAACACACAACACAGCCCTTTCACTCACTGGTTGTACAGTAAACTCATAACAGCAGTTCCCTTCAGTGGTTAAGTATTTTTATATAAAAAAACATCTGGCATACACATTTTTAAAATTAAATTAAAAGAAATGTTTAACCACAAATGCACTCCCTACACTCAGAAAGCATTTATGTTTGAGACATAATACTATGGTGAGCACTAAACTAAAAATACCAGTGCATAATAAATGACTAATGATCATGTTTTTGTACTCTAGAACTCAAAACATTTCACCTCAATGCAGTCTCGCATGAGGTAAACAAGTAAAATCTCCAGTCTTAGTATCTCCTCTCCAAGAAACATTTGCAACAGTACACCTTCAGATGGAGGTTTCAACATTAAATCTAAAAACCTAAACCAACAGAACCAGAAAAGCTGCGTCTTTGGGTGGAATTCAGACTCGATTCCTCAGACACTGTTTTATCCAGCTGGAAGGAGAATAAGTCAATATCCTGACAGAGGGCAGTGTGAAACATCAGGCATGAACAAGGAGTGAGCCTTCCATTAAAGTGTCAGTGGACACTGCCGTCACGTCAGTACCCCCCCTCTTGTGCCGGTACTCGCGATGGCTAGCCCCCCTCCTGCTGTGAGGGGGTCCCCGAGAGGCCAGAGCCTCCGAGGTCTCCCGCAGCCACCTGCCAGACATTCTCAGGCCGTCACATCAGCTCACACTAACTAGCTCTGTCATATTGAGGTTAGCGGCACATGTGACTGATGTCTGCTTGAGGATAAAGCCCAGACAGATTCTCGCTGCCTGCGAAGAGAGAGCTGTGAAATGCTGAGACATGCATCATGGCCTGTTTACCCCTCGTCTCCCCCCTCCAAATTGTGTATCCCCTGTCTTTCACAGCACTCATGGCTCTGTGGTTGCTTTCCAGATTTAGGGTTACCAGATTTGTGGAGTGTCACTCCTTTCCAGATACTGCAGGTAACTGGTTTAAGTCTGCTTTCAATTTGCTGGACAGGCATAGGACTAGGAATAAAGCAGGTTCAACAGGAATTGGCACTCAATAATCTGGTTTAGAAATTGGATGAAGGTTTAAAACCACAGAATCTTCAGCTAAAATTGATAACATGCACTGTAATCTGTAGTGCACATTTAGCACAGGGCTTCAGTAGTTCTTAACACAATTAATCTGTTTTTTCTACCGCTGAGCAATCTGCTGAGTCCAAGGACTCTCCTTCCTCAAGTTGGCTCTTGCATAGTAAAAAAGAAATTATAACAATCCTTCTTGTGGGTTAAAACACAAGCTAAACAAATCTCTCTTAGTATAGGCCCCTTACCCAAGATGTTCACTGTTGAGTTCCTTAAAAGTGTTGCAGTATTGCATTGCTAGAGATTAGCCTTTGGAAAACATGCAATACCCCGCACTCCGATATGAAGATGTCAAGACATCTGATCTTTTCTTAACATTAATTGTTTCATTTTATTAATTAAATTTCCTGTCCTTAACTTATAGTAACCTGTATGCAGGTCTTTCATATTAATGGAAAAGACATGAGGAGAAAAGTGAGCAAACCTTAATTCCTTACTTTGATCTGCTCATAATGTTAGATAAATACTGTGCATACCCAGTATCATTTCCAGCTGGTTTACACCTCGCATGCATTTCTTGTTGACACTTACTTGGCTCTTAGCGAGGCGTTACAAAGCTAAATTCACAGCCTTTTGGTCTCAGCATTCCGAAGGCAACTACAAAAGTTTCAAAAAAGGTTCAAAACTGCAGCGTGCTAAAAAAGCAACTGCAGAAAAAACGAGGGATGGAAAATGCATTTTTTCACTGCAGCAACTATTTATCTCTCCTTTGCTTATTACAGGCGTCTGAATCCATGACCTCCTCTCCCGTTCTGCACTGTTTTAATGCAGCAGAAAAAAAACGACCAAATCCATGCCTTTGGTGCGGAGATCACTACCATCTTTTTATAAGAAAAAACAAAAACATGGAGCACACAAGATTATTCCCTTATTTTACCAGATTGGATTTTCTGATGCCTGGCGAGGAGGGATTTTGAAGATACTGATGAGATGCTAGCGTATCTTGAGGTCAGATAAGAAAGTAGAGACCAGCTCACTATATAAGTATCAAATAAAGTAACACTTTTCTGTGTAAAATTAGTATCCTGTTTTCTGCAGAATCTGAAGACCTGTTTTACGGCTCTTTATAATGCTTATTTACTTGCCCGTAGGTCTGATCTTGGCTTTTATCCACATAGTAAGATTAGAGAATTCAGCCCTGACAATGCTGACTGTTTCTCAGGCCGCCACTGAGAGGACAACATTAAGACGGCCCAACAGCCTTTTTCCATTAAATAAATCCTGCTGCATCCTTGAGGAAAACAGCCAACAGCTCCTTTGGGGGGGGGGGGGGATTTATCATGGATTAGGGGATTACATCAGTCTTTCATCAGATACTAGGTATGATGTTGCTTTGGCAGAAGCTTACCAAACGCAATGACGGATGTTTACATTGGCTTCTGTCTTCTACTGTCATTGAACCAACTGGCTCACTGACCTGTCTTCCTTTGCTTTCTATATCCTCTTGAATATTTTTCTATTCTTAAAGGATTACAATTTGGATTCTCTGTAGTCTACTGGAAGCAATTTAGTCTTTGTTTAGTCTGCTTTCCTAAAGATAGGCAGGGGAGCAGCATTTTATAGTATAATAATATTATAATAATTATATATTAATTTACCATGTATTCAGTTTTAATAACTTGTATACCGGCTCCCTTTTAACCAATTCCTAATTAATTTCTATAAAAAAAGGACCATAAAATATGTCTCACAGATTTCTAAAGTGGGTTTAAACAACAACATGTTTATGGGTCAGTTACAATTGACTATAATCGAAAAGGAATATAAGCTATACTTATTATTCCTTCAACACGTCAGTTTCTCACTAACGGTTTTCAATGCAGGGAAAGTTAGAAAAGGTCTGAGTAAGTAGAAGTGACGAAGAATGAAAATGGGTACATTTTGCATTTCTGAATCTTCTCTGGTGCACTAGGACTGGCAGAAATGTCTACATATAAAGAAAACACTTCCTCAATAAGACCTGAAAGATTCTGCTGTTCTGGCTTCTACAGCAACAGCCCATGTATTATTGACGTTTAGCACTCTTCTGCCGTTCACAATTGTATCGATCTATGACTTCCTCTCTCCTGCATCTTTTTCTAGTGCAGCACAAAATAGTAAAACTACTGCAGTTAATGCTGTTGCATCTTTGCAAGGAGAGTGTTAACTCCAAAATTATAAGAGCCTCTCTATCTTTTTGGCAGTTTTTAAGAAAGAAAACTATCACACAAAAGGAGCATGTTTACCATTTCATAGCGCCTCTAACGTGATCTATTGCTTTTTGAAGTTTTGGTTCAAGAAACATGTCAAATCTGCTGATAAAAAATAACTTCCTCAACAGAGGTCTAAGTTCTGTTGCAGCTCTAGCTCTTAAATACCTTAAACAGACTGTGTACTTGTCATGTACCCTTATTTAGTCATGAAAAATGAAAACATCTTATCAGGTGTAATTATAATAGATTAAAAAAAACATTGCAGATATTTCAGGCATTTTGTCCTTTGATATCTCCAGCATGGCATAAAGGCATTCATTGTTTAAGATACTGCAGAAACATTATTTAAAACAGTCCAATTTATAACCTTGGTTTATGTATAAAAGAGAATACTAATGATCTGGGAATGCAATCAGACTTGTTTAGCACACTCAAAGTGTTTAAAAATTTCAGTCTTCACAGAGTACCGATACACCCAGTCTCTGATTTGTTCTTGTTTTCTATACCAAGTGACATATTCAAATTGAAACTGGGCATGCAAACATTACTGGATCATTACTGAATATTGTACAATATTGCTGTTTTATACTTTGTAATTAACTTGTTTTGTATAATTATCTTCCGCCTTCACTACAATAAGAGATTTACTTGGGTCAAAGGAATCATGAAACGTGTCATCTGTAGCTGGAAATGCTTTACAGGAACACTTGTGAGCCTGGAAGAAGCACGGGGATAAAGTCAATACCAGTCTCCAGTACCTCTTTCTGTTGTCTCTCCAGCTCCTTCATTCTGATCTCCCGGGCCTCTGCTCTTGCTGCTCGCTTCGCAGCTAGCCTGGCCTCGGCCTAGGGCAGAGAACAATTGGAAATCAATACACCGTAGATCCACAGGGAATCCCATTGCATATCAACATTCAGCATGCTCTTTACAACTGCAAGCATTGCAAAAATTTATTTCCAGTTCTTCTTACTTACCAGATTCGCTTTTGTTTCGCCAACAGTGCAAACCTAGCATGGTACTATATATTTTCTGATTAAATCCAGATTTTGCAGCATTTCAATCTTTTTTTTTTAATAATGCTAGATCCATTGTTTTAGTCTTTGGTATTACATATTTTGCCAATACAGCTTATTTTTAAAAAAATATGATGATACATCACTTTCTGTTATTAAGCAATAACTCAGAGTACTACAGCTCCACTATACTGAATAATTCTGCATTTCAAGTATGGACCTTTAATTGGCTCCCAGAGAGTGAGAAATGTGTGAAAGACACCCAATTAGCTTCTTTGATTTACAAGTATAAGAACATTCCTAAACAAGAGTAGTTCTTCCAAATACTCATCCCACTACTTAAAAATGTCATTTGTTTCACTAAATTCTCTACAACCCTTTGCTAAATTCTGTGTTCTTATAACAAATCAGATGCAATTCATACGAAAAAACAATTATTCTTCACATGTAAACAGCATAAATAAATTGCCAGGCCAAAACATGACTGCTACCCGCTTTCCTTGTGATGCTAAATGGAAGAACAAAAGGTGTTCCACTGTTTCCACTGTTTGAGGAAAGAAAACCCGACAAATGAACAATGGGATTAAAACATTTAATACCATACTGGCATGTATACAAATTTACAAGTCCCAGAACACAGCTGATTTCCTCGGACTTCCATGAAAAGAGGCTGCCAAAGGTCACCCTGGTCAATGCATTTTTAATTGAAAACTCCTGGCCATTGCCGACCTCCACAAGATAATCTACAGAGGCAGACATCCTATCCATGTTAAGGCATAACCTAATGTTTCCTGCACTATTTAGTCCTGCTTGACCCGACTGCTAAATTTCATAAATATGAAGACACACAGCAGCTCTTTAAAGAAGCTTTCAATACATACTGGAATTTATCAGCATTTCTGACCAGACCCAATTTACTCAGTCTCAAGACCACAACAAAGTTGTTGAAAAATATATGTGCCACAGGATATATAGAACAGTAGTTGCCAACCCAGACCCTTGGGGACCTTCTTCTTGTTATTGTTACAGCCATGTTCTCAATCACAGGTTACCTGATTTAAATTGTATATAAAATTGTGTTTAAATTTGTTTTCAGCTTTTAAAACACGGAATGAGATGTATAACTGGTATAAATCCCTTGACCGATATCTGAGTTTCCATGCATGCCTCATTCAAGTGTGTTACCTGAATTTATCAATTAAATGCCGAAGAAAACAAATCTCACGGTGGAAGTGTCTGATAAACTGGCATTTCTTCCCATCTCTCTTCTTCATGAACCGATAACCTATTTACAGCAGTTGAAGAAAGCCTGTTTAAAGTTCAGTTTGCTGAAATTATATGAATACGCTTGGAGTAAGGATCTGTTTAAACCTGTGACTAAATGCAGAACAAGCAGATCAAATAAAGGCGCGAGTCAGCACTGGAGATTCAGAACTCAGTGGAGTTTGGGATTTTGGATCTTCATTTTTTACACCTTCTATTCTGTTACATATTGTAATGCTTACATACACCTTACTGTATTGTAAGAAGACATTTGGAGTTCTGAAAAGTGTCAGTATAGCACATCAGCATGAGGCCCTGCCGAGCATTGTATCTATGAATTTACCAGAGCCTCAGTCAAATGACAAATAAGCACTGTTTGGTAAATTATCTGAACAAATGTATTGTAATTCAATCATGCATCAGGGGAAGAGGCATTTTCAACTTCCTCAAAAAGTACAGCTGCAGGAGTTCCCTTCACTTAATAATAGAGACTCCCCACCTAGTATGCACCCCGTGAGTAAAGTTCTTATCACCCCTGACTTATGCTTCATATTATTCTTCTAGCACAGCATGGTTGAAATACAAGATGTATAACAGCTAAACATTAGTTTACCAATCCAAGAGGTTGAATCTGCAATGGGCTGACTCTGGACTCAATCTGTATTCCATCACATACTTAACAGAGGACCCAGTAATAGTCTAGCATCAGAAGCAAGAATCTTCTCCAGTCCACTTACTGCATACAGTATATAAGGTGTATAAATAAAGCAAGCAAATAAAAACAGAAGTCTCTCCCAGGAAGCAGTTCAGTTTTCTTGATTCCACTTCCAGCACTCACAAAATCAGGCACAAAACCCCTCAGGCCCGATAATGAAATCTGCAAGCACATCCTTTTGCACTACGATAGATTTGAGAGTTTTGAAAGATGTTCACATCGGCCCTCAAACACCTCAGAGATGTGTGTTTATGCACCATGTTAACTCAGCTGTTCTCAAAGCCAGCACCAAGTTTTGCAGACTCAGCAGTTTTTCTTTAATCCTTAATAATGCTTTTCTTCAGTACAGTAGCAACTGAGGCACGAGGTGTATTTCCAGGATTATTTCCAGCTATTTAATGTAAAGTCTTTATCAACAGGTAATAATTAATTAATAAAATGTTATAAGACAAGCTGACTAGCATAGATTTAACAGCACTGAGGTTAAGGTGTGACTTGCCCAAAAGCTTTAGGTAGCATATATTTCTAATATTGTATTACTTCAAACTTGACTTCATATGGTAACAAGATATTCCAGTGCCACGTTTAACCCTACCCTGCCCTATCTCTATGCATAGCAGCTTTAATCTATTACATCACACACGGGGGATTTGACTAAAAATACCAAGTCTTTTCTGATGAGGCCTGCAACAATTTGTGCTGCTAATTGCGTGTTTGTCTCACAGGATATGGGAGTGCTGCAGAGCAAGCAGAGCTCAGCAAGCTACTTTAGGCCCAAAGCCCAGCTAGGATCAGGTGCGCCTCCAGGGATATAAAAATACCATGCCCCTAGCCTCTGTCTGCTGCTCCACCCTGGACTCCCTCCATAACAACATGCAGCAGCACAGTTTACACAGGAGGCATCAAACCAGGAAGGAACAACTTACTCACAGCTTCAGCATTTCAATGGCATTTTCCTTAAAAAGAACTTCAGTTCTCAAGGCTTAAATGAACACTTAAGGAAACAAAAACAATGACCTGTTGCAAAATGGCAAGAATTACAGTATGCCGTTCAGGAAGAAGGGTCACTTTTTCTGTAATGACACCACTGCACACACACTTAACACACAAATGCAGTGCTCCATCACAATAAAGTAACAGATTCAAAGTAGAGAGAGCACTTATGTGATTACACCAAGATCTAAGAAGACTCACCAGGTTTGCAAGCAGTAAAACCTTCCCAAACCCTCCAAATCAAATACAGGCAATTAGCAACACAAAATGTTGCAGAAAAATTACCAACAAAAAAGTATCTGGCAGCCTGGCCTTGTGTATTAAGCAGTGACTGACACGGATGATCACATGCTGTAGAGGGTAGATGACTTGATTTTCACCATTGTGGTGTAATTGTCTTATGGTGTAAATTAGGGTCTAGGACTAATGCAAAACTAAGTTTATTTTATTATCTATTTCCAAGAAATGTAAAAATATAATATCAGGATGATCTTTCCTGGTTACTAAGAACGGGTGCACCAATAAAGACTGAAAATGTCAACAGTGTAGAAGCCCTTAACAGGTTCTGTCCTGCAGGCAGACATGTCAATCATTCAAGAAAAATATTTGTCACATCAGTAGGTAGAAAAGCAAATACAGGTTGCTTTATTTATCTATATTTATTATAATAGGAAGGGACAAATTTGCAGAAACACTGTGTTTAACACGCATATAAAAGCAATTCATGATAAAACTGCAAAATACAAGCTACATAAATAAAAACGTGGAAATCTGATTTACTGATAAGCAATACACTAATCATATTGCTTACTGTAAGGAAATCTTAACACGGTATGCTACAGGCAATTTGCTGCAGCTGATACAATCATCATGATCCTAACCATAAGCATGGAAACGTTTTAACACCTATAGTTATATGCAAAAGTTTGGGCATCCCTGGCCAAATTACATGTTTTGTTGATTTTCTAAGTGAAAAGACATGAACACAACCTCTGCAGCGAACAAACTTAAACTTCATGTATGTCTTCTAATTTTAATGCACAGTTACTATTTATTTGCTGAACAGGTTGAAAAAAATAACAGTAAAGGTGGCATGTACAAAAGTTTGGGCACCCTATCAGTCCGTACTTAGGAACACCAACTTTGGCAGCAATCACAGCCTCCAAACGTTTCTTGTAGCCAGCTAACAGTCTTTCTATTCTTGCTTTAGGAATTTTTCCCCCACTCTTCCTTGCAGAATGCTTCTAGTTCAGAAATATTCTTAGGTCATCTTGCATGCACTGCATGTTTGAGATCTACCCACAGCTTTTCAATAACATTCAAGTCTGGGGACTGTGAAGCCCATTCCAAAACCTTAATCTTTTGTTTCTTGAAGTAGTTCATGGCTGATTTTGAGGTATGCTTTGGATCATTGTCTTCTTGTAATATCCAACCTCTTTTCAGCTTCAGTTTCATCACTGAGTGTGGGACATTAGCTTCCAGGATTTGTTGATACTTAGTAGAATCCACTCTTCCCTCTACCCGCACAATATTTCCTGTGTTGCTGGCTGCCACACAACCCCAAAGCACAATAGATTCACCCCCATGCTTAACAATTGGCAAGGTGTTCTTTTCTTCAGATGCTTCTCCTTTCTTTATCCAAATGTACCTTTGGTGATTGTAGCCAAAGAGTTAAATTTTTACTTTATCAGACCACAGCACTTGGTTCCAAAACGCCTCCAAGTGTTGTGTTGCATGGTTCAGACATTGACGTTTGTGATGAGATCGCAGGTAAGGTTTCCTTCTGATGACTCTTCCATGCAGATCATGTTTGTGCAAGCAACGCTGCACAGTGGACCAGTGCACTAGTACTCCCATTCCA